AGCTAGAAGCAGGAGGGACCGTTAGGAAGCTACTGCAGTATTCTTGTGAGAGGTGATGGTGGTGTGTTAGGCCATGGTCGGGGCAGGCCTCATAAAGCGGACTTGAAAGGAAAACCCCCAGGGTCTGCAGTGCAGGGTCTGGTCAAGTGAAAGACTGAGCCTTTCCAAACAAAGAAACCAGGTATCAGACCTGGTAAATATGGCTCTGTGAATTGCAGAAATTGCCTTTAGATGGTAATATAATTGTTTCCAGGTACCTATCAGTCATCTCCCTCCACATCGGGCTGCAGACACAAACATGATCAAACTTCAATGGAACTTCTGTAAAATACACAGAATAAATAGTCGACTTACCCTCTTTCCCATTTTGGAAAAGACCTAGTGGGAATTTGTTTACCTTGCTAGGAAAAAGTAGGGCCTTCCATGAAGATTTGGACAAATAAAGCTTTTCATTTATTAATTTATTTATTAATCCCAACAAACAAACAGAGCAAAAGAAAAACACTCAAATTTTTAAAAACTTGAAGGCAGCTAAGAAAAAAAAACACCACTAAGAGTAAGGTTAACAGATCCCCATCACTCCTTAAGCATTCTAGCTCAATCTTTGTGCAAATTAACAATGACTAACTGAATACACATAAATGGCACTCAAGAGTGTTTGCTGAATTGAATTGCCCTACCCATCTTATGGTACAAGAAGTATCCATCTGAAAAAAAGGTGGGGGGCTGGGTGGCTCAGTCAGTTAAGCATTGGACTCTCCATTGGGGCTCCGGTCATCTCATGATTTATGAGTTCAAGTCCCACATCGGACTCTGTACTGACAGTGCAGAGCCTGCTTAGGATTCTCTCTCCCCCCTCACTCTTTGCCCCTACTCCATTTGCTCTCTCTCAAAATAAATAAACTCTAAAAAAATTTTTTTAAAGAAATATAAACAGGCATAAGATAATGACAAAGGAATTCTCCAGGAACCATTTCCTCCAGGCCACTTTTGTAAGATGTCTGTTTCAGCTGTACTAATTTATAATTTGTGATCATTCAAATTGAAGCTGTAGTCAGTGTTTTAAAAGGCTATTATGATTAATAATAATGATGATGATAATAGTTACTGAGCACTTACAGTGTACAGACCACATGCTAAGCGCTTTCCATGTAAATCTCATTTAATCTTTAACCTTATCAGACAGAAACTACTATACTTACCTGCAGATGAAGAAATTGAGGTATAAAGATATAAAGTAACGTATCTGAGGTCACACTGCCCTTAAGTGAAAAAACCTGGCTTTGTAAAAGCAGTCTGTCTAAACTCAAAGTCCTATGATCTTAACCATGACTCAATACTTCACTTATAGTCTTATATAGTACAAAGAAAAATCACTAACTAGTGTCTTACAGCCTTTCAGAACACAGAAAAAGTAAACTTAAGCATTATACACTGAAATAATTTAGTCATTACCAATTCTATTTCATTAAAGCAAATCTCTTTAATTTGGCTAGGTTAATGGCTACTTCATTAACCTCCTCTAGATACTGTTTGTATTTAAACATAATAAAACACGGTTTTAAGTAAAAATAAACGCATAATTCATCCTTAACTAAGACTATCTTCAATCTTCACTCCAATTTTCTGTGAGTTTACTATATTTTCATAAAACACAAACGATTTTAGGGGCGCCTAGCTGGCTCAGTAGGTTAAGCGTCCGACTTCAGCTCAGGTCGTGATCTCGTGGTTCTTGAGTTTGAACCCTGCATGGGGTTCTGTGCTGACAGCTCAGAGCCTGGAGCCTGCTTCAGATTCTGTGTCTCCCTCTCTCTCTGCCCCTCCCCCGCTTGCACTCTGTCTCCATCTCTGTCTCTCTCTCTCAAAAATACACATTAAAAAAATTAAAAAAACAAACGATTTTATAACATTGATTACAAGCTCTTATTATAAAACAAATTCACACCTACACACAACATATGTACACTCCCTCTTCCTCTCCCTCCCTGTCTCCCTCCCTCCTTCCTTCTCTTTCTCTGTATAGAAATTTTCTGTATATCCTACCTTTCTGCTAAATTTTGGCTAAAAGTTGGCTACTGCTGCCATTATTTCCATAGCCTGTACGTATTTCTTTTCCACATATGCTTTCTACTCAAGTTGCAAAGAAGAGAACACAATGAGTTTTAAAAAGCACATTTAGGACACCTGGTTGACTCAGTCAATTGAGCATTGAACTCTTGACTTCGGCTCAGGTTATAATCCCAGGGCCATGGGATCCAGCCCCATGTTGGACTGAGCATGGAGCCTGTCTGAGAGTCTGAGTCAGTCTCTCAGTCTCTCAGTCTCTCTCTCTCTCTCTCTCTCTCTCTCCCCCCACACCACCACCCTCCCCTGCTCGTGCTCTCTCTCTAAAAATAAAATAACTCTTTAAAAAACAATTAAAAATAAAAACCACATTTAGGTAGAAGATAACTGTGTTGATCAGAAGCATAATAATCCAGTTTCAGATGTCTTCCCATCATGTTTCTTTTGCTTTGCCTTTAATCAGTATGTAAATTCTCTGCTTTTTAATATAATTTTATCCTCCCAAAAAGATGAGTACACACTACTATGCTAATGTAACATACACCTGGAAACACAGATTTTAATATTGTTCATTGCAAGACCATGTTAAATCAGACCAGTGACAGATTTTTCAATAAATAATATCAAGGAAAATGTTGCGCTTATAATCTCTTCATTTTAAATATGTAACACTCTGTGTGACTGCATACTTTATTTCATAGTCTCATTCTGAAAGTATTATAAATACAAGAAAGGGGTTATAGCTAAGCCAAAAGTTAAAAAACTCAACTTCATATGCTATTTAAAATCTCAAACATAACACTGTGATCATTTTTTACATAAATTCATATAATTTACATGAGTATTTGTTTTTAAAACTTAGGAATGGCATCACCAGCCCATCTAGTGTGACAGCCTCTCTTTCACAGTGACCAGTGGTGGATGCCTCACACGGAGAGCATAAACACCTAACATAATGCATATAACTGTGCACCACTACCCCATTACTCCAGAAGGTAGTAGTCAGATTATGTCCTGAAAGAAATGAAAACAAGTCCCAACTCCCATCCCTTCTCTATTCTATAATTTCCTAAAAGGTGATGAGAAACCTCCAATTAGCGCAAATTTATCCATAATACAAACCAATGTTTCAGTAACACTGCAACTAAAAAATGATCTCCTAGGGGCATGTGGGTGACTCGGTTAAGTGTCCAACTTGAGTTCAGGTCATGACAGTTCCTGAGTTTGAGCCCCACACTGGGCTCTGCACTGACAGCTCAGAGACTGGAGCCTGCTTCAGACTTTCAGACTGTGTTTCCCTCCCTCTCTCTCTCTCTCTCTGCCTCTCCCGCACTCATGCTCACTCGCTCTCTGTCCTCTCTCTCTCAAAAATAAATAAATGCTGGGGCGCCTGGGTGGCTCAGTCAGTTAAGCATCTGACTTCGGCTCAGGTCATGATCTCACAGTTTGTGGGTTCGAGCCCCACGTCGGGCTGTGTGCTGACAGCTAGCTCAGAGCCTGGAGCCTGCTTCTGATTCTGTGTCTCCCTCTCTTTCTAACCTTCCCCTGTTCACGCTGCCTTTCTCTCTCTCTCAGAAATAAATAAAAACATTAAAAATTTTTTTAAATAAAATAAATAATTGTAGAAAGAAAGAGAGAGAAAGAAAGAAAGAATCTCCTAAAATGAACACCTGCACTCAGAAATAGAATGTAAGATCATCAAAACTTACAGTTTCTAAAGGAGAATTTCAATGAATTGAAAAGCATCAGATTCACTCAATTAGAATTTATTTATGGAACAGAAGAGCAAAATTCTCTTAAAGCTTAAAAAAACTGTACCCAAGGCATCCATTTCATGATATGTAATACTATTTTCTAGAAACTATTATAAAATTTGTATTTTTAACTCTTCAGAGAAATGGTATCCACACCTGTTTTGTAATGGTTTTTAAGTAAGGCTTGGATTTATTAAATGTTCATCTAAGTGTGCAAAACCACATAATGAAGAAATCTTGGTTTAGTCCTTCAGGAAGTACTATTTCCTATATAATTACAGACCAAAAAATGCACTATACTTTTAAAGACCTTTGGAGAAGATAATTCTCTTGGTAGTATACTTGGGTATTGGTTTAACAACGCTTGTAGTCAAGAAACTCTTCCTGACCTAAATCCTCCATGGTATAATTTAAATTCATTTTCTCTTTTTCTGACCTCAAATAGTTGTAGAAGATTAGGTCATATCATAATATTTTAGATATTTAAAAACCCTTATTAAGGTCTCCTTTTCCAGGTAACTGCATTGCAGGACTATGAACCAACAGTCCTGTACAAAATTGAGTCTTATAGTTTTATATGCTGTATATTAGAGCCCAGCTGACAGATCTCAAAAATTATCCACCATTTTTACCAAGCACTACTCCTCCCCCCATACACTCTTTCTCAAAACACAAAACAACACAAAAAATTATCTATATTTTGGAACAAATCTCAAAAACTTAGACAGAGACGTTTACGAGAGATGGGAGCAAGAACAACACACACAAATTCCACCCCGACACTGCTTTCTTCCCTAGAACAGGGGATCATTTAATGAAATCTATCTCTCAAAATCTCTGGGGCAGAGTTGAAGCTGCAGTGCAATATCATAAAATCTGCAGCTGTGTTGCTGTTCTTAATAGTCCGTGCTGCTTCCTTAGACCACAGGAAGCCAAAACACACACTGTCAGAACAGAACTCACCTTAATGGGAACTTGCCAAAGCAGCGGGGCAGTAACATCAAGTATCAAAACTGGTATTGGAAAGATCATAGACATCTGTAAAAGTTTTCTCCTCAAGCAATTTACTCACTCCAGGAAAGCTGTATCTTTCATGTTTCTAAACATCAAAATTTGTTTAGGAATAAAGACTAAAGGATAGGCAAATAAACAGTGATACATAAAGAAGCATTAATAACTTACTTTTATTGCCCACCAAGGCAACCAGCGGCTGAGTTTCTGACTCCTCGCTCACTTTCTTCACCACAGAATACCAATCTTCTAAATTCTCAAAGCTCTGATAATTTGTAATATCATACACCAGCAGGATCCCCTGTCACAAAAGAGTTACAGAACTTTTTGTCAGATAGCTGGCATGGACGTGGTGAGCTACAATAAATACGAGAAAATCCTATCATGGGTGAGAAGGCTGCAAGGTCTATGGTCTTGCCTGTTACTTCCATGAGGTCAGACATGAAAACCTTTCAATAAATAACCATCTGCTGCTGCTCTCTATAAATATTTTCAAAAATGAGATTCCATGACATCCCTTGATAGTCAATTTTAGTGTTTAACACAATCTTCTTTAAATGAAATAAGTCGATTTCCTCTTTTGGTCCTCTGTGCATTTGGAGAACAACACTGGAGTGTCCTCCTTGTAATAACCCTTCATGTACTTGAAGATAGTTCAGTGACTCCTTTACCGTCTCCTTTCCAGAATAAACAAACTCAATTCCTTAAACTTGCCTCAAAGGACCTATTTTCTATCCCTTTAATCATAGTTGTTGGGTTCTTCCCAGGACACACTACATACAGTTTTTTGACATCCTCTTTAAAATGAGCAATGTAAAACTGGACATGATACTGTAATAAGAGCCTGAACAAAGCCAAATATAACAGAGGGATTGCTTCCTGCCTCTTATATATCATATTCCTTTTAATATATCCCATTATTTTGTGTGGGAAGGAGAAGTATGTACACACACAAAAATAACAGTGCCACATTCTTGATTCTCATCCAGTTCGTGGTCAAACACTTAATACAAAGCTCTGCATATAGTGTAAGTCTGAACCCTAATAGCATTTATGTCTCCTTCTTAGGTTATAATCACAAAATTTTTACTGCATTTTTGTACATACTATCCATCTTGACATATATTTAGATCTTTTCATTAGTCCTTACAACAATCATCTAATGCTGCTACTCTTATTCTCATTTTATTAATAAGGAGAGGCTACAATAACCAAGGTCGACCATACTGAGATCACATACCACTACCTCTAGGTAGGTGATGAAGCCAGATCTGAATCAAGGGCTCTATGAATATAGAGTCCACTCATGCATTCTATAAGCATTTGTTTGTCAACTATATGCCAAGCATTGTGCTGGGTCCTAGGGATACGAACTCCAAACCTCAAAAAATTCAGAGTCTTACAGCAAGGCCAGGCATATAAACAGACAAGAATAGAACAAAAAAGTAATGGCCAGTGATATGCTGGTAAATATTAATAAACTGCCTAGTGCCAAGGTAGGGGTGGGGAATTGTAGAGTATTATTTGTCTTAGTTGCCTATTTCCATGGTATAAATACTCCCCTGTGGCCATTTTCAAGCTATCAACGTCCTTAACTGAACAGCTGGGTAGGACACCATCATATTGCTTTTGAACCACACAGGTACAACAGACATCAATTATTTCAAGAACATAGACAAGAAAAATATATGGTAAAGTAATTAGTAAATGATGCATTTTGAGCATATATATTTGTTTTTAAGACAATTTATGAGTTTATGTATTTTTAATCATGAATGTATTCAACAGCTGGCTCACAAAAATTCCTGAAAATTTAACAACTCCCTTTCTCAAGCCAGAGAATAACATACTACTATTATAACCATCTAGTACCATGCTCTTTTATTAAATTACACTGGCCCCAAGTCACTTAGCTCCTCTGGGTCTCAGGTTGTTTGCCTCTAAAATTAGATCACTGAAAGTAAATGGTCTCTAAAATCCCTTCCAGTTTAAATATTCTGTAATTTTTATGCAAAATCACTTGTCTGATTCATTTTGGTAACATAGACACTTACTTCTGTCTTCTTGAATGCTTTGAAATAATGCCCAACAATAGAATTATTTGAAATAATCAGCATATGCCCACTTTTCTGATTAAGAATAATGCCCCAGAATTGGCCTTTGAAGAAAGCTAACCTTCAATGCTCATTTTGGCAGCACGTATAGAGAGGAAGAAAGGAAGCTAATCTTCAAACTACTGACTCCACATCCAGTTGACTTGAATGATACCACATATTGTTTTACTCTGCCCTGAAAGTCACATCGCTGCTGGACTGCAGTCTTGGCCTGGCCCTACCATCTACTGATCTTGATCTTGGCCAATGCTTTTGTCATCCACCTTTATAATACCTGCCATGTCTAAGTGATTATGTGAAGTAATAAGAATAGACTTCTCTAAAAACTAACATGCTACACAATTGCTGGGAATTTTTATTATTCTGAATAAGAATCACATTTTCTTTTATTTCATTTTTAATATAATTTATTGTCAAATTGGCTTATATAAAACACCCAGTGCTCATATTTTCAAGGCAACTTCGTGACAGTTTTTACATTCATAGATTGAGCTAGTGATATATGATGCCTCTTAAACATTAAGATGTTTGGAACCCTTCTAAATTAGTATGTGAAAATCTTCATCTCAACATATGCCAATATGTGTACATGATGCAAATAAAACATGGCCACCATCTCTTGATGATCAGTAGTAGACCAGAGCTTAGAATAAAAATTAAATACTACTGATCTATTATATACCAGAAGCCCATAAACTATGGCCCCCAAGTCACATTCAGCTCAAAGCCTATATTTGTAAATAAGCTTTTATTGAAGTTCAGTCATACCTATTTAAGTGTTATCAATGGCTACTTCTGTATATAACTGCAGAGTTGAGTGGCTGCAACAGAAATAATATGGCTTGTGACACCCAAAATACTTCCTATCTGGCTCTTTAAGGAGCCAATTCCTGAGCTAAACCATCGTATCCTGATATTTTTCACAGATCAATAACTATGAATCTTCCAAAAGTCATAAGAAAGGCAGAAGGATAAATGCCTTTCATTAATCTAGCTCTCCACCAGCCCAACATCATATACCCTATTCTCAATACCACTCTACGTAAAAACTAGGATTCCATCTTTGCTCCTAACATGACAATTTTTCATCAGCTGTAACCTATACCAACGTGGTCAAAATCTGAAAAAGGAAAATGAGAAAACAAAAAAGACATTAAAACACAAAAAAGTTCTAAAATTTTCAGTTTCAATTCTGACATGTAAAGAACCGAGAAGTCATCACATTTGTCTTTACAGTAAGAAAAAAATCTAAACAAATAAAATCCATGACTTTTCTTGGACAAAACAGAGAGCTGAGTTTGCAGGGTAAATCGCCATCCTGAAATCTGGATGAATTTCAGGTGAATCCAAAGAGTCACAGCCCACATATGCTAACCTGGAGCAGATGCCACTGTGGCCAGTAAACGTGGGAAAATTTAAATGGCAATTTTGATAAACTGGTGGAGGATGACTGTGGTCCACTTTGAGAATGAAAAACTCCCAGGCAACACAGTCTGTGGGGGTACCCCCACACTTTCATGGATTTTACCTCCAGAAACCCTACCAGATCCTCTTGGGAGAATCAAGAAAGATCCCCACATGGCTGTGACATGGGGCAGGAGAAATTAACCACTGCAAAATATGCCCAAAGTATTATCCATAAAAAAGGTATACTGTCCAGGAAAAAAAGCTTAATGAGTGTCTTATATCACATGGGGGAAGGACAGTTCCTGTTTCCAGCCCCTTCGAGCCATCTCATGTCACCTAAGTGGGAAGAGCTAATAAATACCTGTGAAGGTCACAGCCCAGGGACACAGGTCCACTATAAGGCTACAATTTATTCATAAGAGCATAGAATGAGAGAGTTCCCCACCCCCCATACTTTACCACAGCAACAACTGGGCTCCAGCATAATAGATGTATACTACATTTGAAGGAGCTGCAAAACACAAACTTCAACTAAGGAAGAGTTCTTTGAGATGTCTAAAAAGACCGGAGAGATAAAAACGACAACACTAGAGGAATTTGATGTCTCTGGAACCTAGAGCCTCAGCAAACATTAAACACAAACCAACTCCTGGCCAATTAACACAAAGCTCCACACTAAAGGCCTATTTACCTGAGTTCTTCTTACTCAATACATCTATCTAGCCTTCAACAGAAAGTTAGAAGGCACTTTGAAGACAAAAAGTAAGCATTAGAACTAGACTCTAATATGATACAGATTTTGGAATGATCAGATCATGACTTTAAAATAACTATGATAGGGGCGCCTGGGTGGCTTAGTCAGTTAAGCATCCGACTTTTGCTTAGGTCATGATCTCGCGGTTCGTGGGTTCGAGCCCCGCGTCGGGCTCTGTGCTGACTGCCAGCTCAGAGCCTGGAGCCTGTTTCAGAGTCTGTGACTCCCTCTCTCTCTGACTCTCCCCTGCTCACGCTGTCTCTCTCTCTCTCTCCTAGAAATAAATAAAACATTAAAAAAATAAAATAAAATAACTATGATAAGTATTTTAAAGGTTCTAGTGGAAAAAATAGACAGCATGCAAGAACAGGTGCATAAGGTACACAAAGAGATGGAAACATTAAAGGATAATAAAAAGAAAATGCTAGCTATCAAAAACACTCTAACAGAAATGAAGAATGCCACTGATGGTCTCATCAGTAGACCAGACCCAGCCTAGGAAAGAATCCATGAACCTAAAGATAAAGTAATAGAAATTTTCAAAACTGAAATGCAAAGATAAAAAACTATGAATAAGGCAGAATATTAAAAAAAACTATGTGACAATTCTGATTTGTATATCATACATATAACTGGAATACCAGGAGTAGAAAAGAGAACAGAACTTAAGAAATATTTGAACTAGGGGCACCTGGCTGGCTCAGTCAGTTAAGCATTTGACTTCGGCTCAGATCATGATCTCACTGAGGTCCATGAGTTCAAGCCCAGCATTGGGCTCTGTAGTAACAGCTCAAAACCTGGAGCCTGCTTCAGATTCTGTGTCTCCCTCTCTCTCTGCCTCTCTCCCACTCACACTCTGTCTCTCTCTTCCTCAAAAATAAATAAACATTAAGAAATGTTTTAAAAAAGAAATATTTGAAGTAATAATGGCCAAGAAATTGCCAAAATCAATTAAAGACACCACACCACTGATGTAGAAATCTCAGAAAAACACCAAGTAGGATAAATACAAAAAAAAAATCTACA